CACAACCCATGATTAATCTTTTAAAGATCATGCAGCTGCGCTCTTAGAGCGGCGCATCCTTTTGCAATTTACATGCGTCACAAGAAACTTGCAACACAAGTCAGCCCCCTGTTGGTGAATTGCAACCAACAGTCTTTCATCACTGAAGGCTATTTGAATTTTGAATGATGTTTAGGTTTCAGTTTCGGTGCGCTAACCGCGGCAGCTACGGAAGGAGTACAACCGGGGCATCACTGGCAGGCAGGGCAGGGAAGTTCGGCTTGAGCTGATTGGCCTTCTTGGGGCTTCGCAAGGACTGTTCATTTGAACGGGCGTTCAAGTTCCTCCGCCAAGAACTCCTGCAACTCACCGCACAAGTAATCAAACTTCCTCATCATGGAGTTGTCAGGGGAACGCTTGATTTCATCAATCACTAGTTCCAAAAATGACGAACAGTGCTGAGTTTGTGGGAAAGAAATTCTCCAAGCATTCTTTGAATTGACTGTGATGTGATGTGATCAGCGATCCTCGAACTCGATCAAGATCAAAGTGCCGGGAAACCATTTGTACAGCAGCTCTGCCACGATGGGCCGTTCCCTGACGAGCGCAGCCCTCAATTGCCTCGAACTTTGAACTGGAGTTTTGGCACATCTTCCGATCCTTCGGTCAATTCACCAACGATCTAACCGACAAGGCCTGATGAACTGGCACGCTCTTGAGCTGAATCTACCTTAGACGCCAGAGCTACCCATGAGGTCAAATAATCAACTTCGCTAACATCCAGACTCCCCAACATCAAAATCAAAGCGAAGTCAGCTGCATTGCTAGGTGCTGGGTCCAACCTAGCGCTTGGCAAGGCTCGGGAATCGACTATCTCCTTTCCACTTCTATCAGATCCTCTGATTCACCCCTCACATCATCAGGCCAGTTACCATCGTAGTGTGGAGCGTGGGGTGGAGGACCAGGTGGACCAACTGGGGTCCGTGCCATTATGCTCAATGTTTCTCCGTTTGTCATGTCTGTCCGATAAACTCTGAATTGCATGGAGTCCATGCGTCGCTCAAAAGACGAACGGGCAAGGACAGCATCAGAACTATACTGGACACGACAACGTCACAACTCGGCGAAACTAACCTGCTGTACCTGCACCCTAGCACATGCGACAGTTGGAGCAGCGCTGAACGCAGCCAGACTCTCCTCAAGCGGGTTGTTGGACTGTAGCAAAGTCACTTCAGCCTGGGAAATCTCTGCATCGTTGTGACTGAACAAGTTTCGGACCCAATTGGCTTGATTGCAATTGGTCTGAAACAACCCCTCAGCAACGTTCACAAGCTCTTGGATGCTAACACGAACCTGCCTATAGATCTCTTGGGCTAAGTTCTCTAAACCCTGACCGAACTTTGTCTTCAGACTCTTGTATGATCCTATTTGATTTAGCCACCATGTTTGCAAAAACCATTGGATCAACCCCAACATTCAACTGCTGAGATCTTTGGCCATGAAACTCGATGTCGCTGTGAACCGAAACTTGAGGTCGCATTGATGGGTCAACTGATGGCAATTAAGAAGACTGTGATATCGAACTGGATGCAAGAGGGAGCAACTGCAACACTTTCTCGTTGATCTTGAGGCTTGGGTAAACTTGTTCCGCCTTACAGGACCAATAACAAACGCAGGATTTGCTTCCGCAAATCGCCCCTTGGGAGTCTCTGATGAACTTCGGCTAGCGGCTAGCCGATGAACGAGCTGTCACTACCAGGAACATCCACTGAGTCTGCACAAAAGGCTCAACGAGGACGAGTTCTGTTCTGACATGTTCCGTTCTGAAGCCCGGCAGTGCAGAAAACAGAGCTTAGGCAAAAAGTATGATGAGCCCGATGATGCCATGAGCTTTCAACAGCAAAGGCAATCCATGCGCGTGTCGGGTTTTACGGCGCACGACCTCCGTTGAAAAAAGCCAATACAGCTGATAACCAGTTGAAATGCTGACTAAGTCACCCAAAAACACAAGAAAGCAAACAGAGCGACACACCAAGGGGCAGCGGACCTGTTTTGACATTTTGCACCAAAAGTAAACGACCTTAGAAAGTGATGACCGTACAAGGTAGGATACTATACATGAATGAGAAAGTATGGGTATGGTTTATCCCCAAACCTTTCAAGTACAATACATTAAAAGGCCATGAAATTTATGGATGCATATGGATAAAGCTTAAATGGACTTAAAAGGCCAAAGCACTGGATGATGGATGCAAGTTCTGAAATATAAGAGCCTCAAATTCATCAGCCATCAACGGCGGATTGTTAATGATTCGTATTGATGGCTCATGTACGCCGCAATGTGGGGTCATTGCAAATCCAAGGCATCAGGATTTCAGATTGCGCCTCAAGCAATTTTAGAGCTTGTGAGAAAACACAAATTTTCCGGGAAATCATCGAAGTAGCCATTCTAGCCATGGCTTCCATGTCCATGTCAATTTTACTGGGGGAGTGTTCAACAAAGTGTCCACGGCAAGTCACAACTCCTCGTTTCGCCAGAAAGATCCACAACCGGCGGTGATCAAGTATGATCAGCCTTCACGGCTTCGCAGCCATGCACGGCTGAAGACGAACGGATTTCTGGAATGGCCTTGTATGGGTCGCGTGCCACACCATCGAGTGGCTCAAGAAATATGGATGTCGCTTGAGGATTGAACTGATTCAACCATCAACATCAATCGACATCTAGCTTTACTTTACCAGCAGAAATTTTAGAGTATATCTGTAGAATCAAAAATGGTGGGGATAATTGTACCTAGCTATTGTACCTATATATATATGACATGACATACAATTATGTATATAAATAAATATACCTCTAAACAATTGCTTAATATTTGAAGGTTGGACTCTATCTGTTCGACATTCAAAGGACATTTTAGGTATATACCTTGGTTGATGGTACCCAACCTATGAACAGTCATCTAAGGCCTGTGCAAGGGAATGTTCTCCGAAATTTTGGTCTTGCCGCCACTCAATTTCAGCTTTCTGAACATGTCATCAATGTGTTTGTTGAAGTCAGATAATTTACATAATGGATGAATCAGTTTAGAAACATTCCGTTTTGTATCAAAGATATCATTCCATGTGTTTTTCTATTCATAGACATTCCTGGAATGATAGCTTTGGTGAAATCAGAGGAGTTGAATTCCCATGGCTCACCTCAGATCCAAAATTGATGATTAACCCCTTCCCCCTAATCTTAAACACTCACCAGAAACCATGGTTTACTAGGCTGACTAGAGGATTTATGCATAGTATTATACACATATTTGGGATCCAAAGAGGAATTGTTCATATTTTGGGGATGGGGTTTTCCTTGCAAGTAAAACCCACCGCCGTCAAGGCCAGATTTCGACGGAGTTTGACCCATTTGGGTACATCGATGAATCCAGGCAAATTTTATACTTCAAAAACTTAACCATATGATTTTCACCATGGATTTATTGACATTAACCACGGATTAACCCCACATTCGAATCATTCCAACAGCCATCGCAAGGCCCATGTGCATGTCGACCTTCAACCAAAGAATCCAATGAAAACCAAAACACTGTGTGTCACTACCATGAAAAAAAGGTGACTTTGGAGCTCAGGTATTACTGAAATTTGATGAAATTTGCCCAGATTCTGACTTCAAGTTATATAGATTTAAATCGCAGTATTTGCCCCAGGTTATCGCGATCTATCGCCATATCCATCGGATTCCTGTGTCGCATACCGACAGGTCATCCATAGAATGGACCACACATCACATCGTGAATTCTTGCAAAAGTCAACACGGTTATTGCGAGCTAAGCAATAAAAAAAAGGGATCTTAACCGAAATGGAGAATTCACCACCATACATGGGGATGTAGTAACCAACAAACAAAATTGAATATCAGCCAACTAAAAATGATATGAACCAACACGATAATATCAACCAAAAGTAAATCCTTCAAAACAAATGTAGTTCAGCCCTTTGACAAAGGAGATACACATACCAGCCAACTAAAACGGGGATGTATGATGATGTAGGTAATTGCTTTGAAGGGGCAACAAACCTCCCTCAAACCGCAAATGCTCTTGTCTTCAAGATTTACCTACATGGCAGGAGCATTTGAGGTCAAAAAAATATATGAGTACTATGGGAACGGAAGTCAACACACACACGAACACAAATTGGAATCCTCATGTAGCAAACAAAAACAGGAATGAACATCCTTGAACCAGCATAGTTCATAGTCAACATCAACAATGAAAATGGACGAAAACGGTAGATTAGTTAACTATGAACGCGAATGTAAACTTTCAGGCAGAACCAGCATAGTTTTAATAACGCCACCTCAAGGGTAACTGTAGCCACTCTCCATGACCTGTTTGAGCAGTGCCTTTGTTAACCCTGCTGGTCGTTTCATGATGCCGGTCGTTTTGAAAATAGGGGTTTCCACTTCATGGATGATGCTAATTTCCAATGATGTTAGTAAAGCAATGTTAAATCATCTCCAAATTTACGATAGATTCAGATAGTATAATCTTATAATCTATATATATATATATAAATATACATACATATACATGTATAACATGTAAAACCCCGGAACCGTCCTGAACTGATCATCAACAGTTGTTTTTCACAACATATCCACACATCCATTTTTTCGAATGACCAAATCTCGTCGACACGAACTAGATCCACTGGATGCGGTGCCACCTGATGCTATGCAATTAGCATTAGCAACCGGGCCGCTCGAAGAGTGTCACAACAACGTGACACAAATTCAAGCACAGTAGGCCAACGTGAAAACCTGACCAAAACCTGATAGACTAACACAACAACAAACAAACTCAATCATATATACAATAACATACAGTATCATATCTATATACATGTATATATATAAACCATCAAACACAACAAGAACATGAAACATAAAGAATCATGAAATGTAACCATCAAACAACAGGGAATCTAGACCCTGCCATCTGATCACCGTCGAATCATGTACTTCGCAGACATCGTGTTCCAAGGATACACAGCCATCGGGCTTCACACGAGCCAACCCGCACTAAAGGGTCCTGGCATGGCACCATGGGCACCCCTGCTAGCGTGGTGAAACCCAAATTGTTCGTCTCTTCCAAATATGGTCTTTCAGTGCATTTCCTTCTATGAAATATCCAATAAAATGTGAATGAAACCAAATAATCCAAATATGGATATATAGCAAATATGAAGGTTTCCTGTAATAGGGCTACCCCAGTTCATCATCCATTTATAGATGCTATTTTTCATGAAATAAACCATCCAGCTATGGTACCAACATTTATGCTCAAGCCGGCAAGCCCACCACACCATCTTTGACAGGGCGCTGCAGTCACCATACATAGGATATCATGGGATTCCCCAATTTTCATGGGATTTGATTGTGATTTAATGATGATTTTATGGGATTTAATATGATTTAATGGGATTTTAATAGGATTTACCATCCGGTAAACTAACAGTTTGCTATTGAAAATTGCCCAGTAAAATAGTTGATTTACCCAGAGGGTAATGAGATTTACTGTAATGGGGTATATTGACCCCTATTGACAAAAATTGAACTATTGATGACCGACCCCCCAGCATGATGTATGGGCATCGACCTTTTGACCATGGCACACATGTCAACAGAGGTGGGTTTTCATGGGAAATTTGACACTCAGGGTTGCCTGTAGATGGTCCATAAAATTATGGGAAAATGTGATCTGCAAACCATCCAAAACATGAGATTTTTGATTGACGGTCATAGGGATATGTCAAGGACAAACAAACATTTGGCTGTTTAGGGACGGTGAAACAACACATGTTCAAGGAATTCATGTACAACTGGAATGTTACCCAGAACTTATCATTGCTCACCAGATGTCCCTGCAACACCGGACGTCTCCCAAATTTCCAACGCCAGCAAGAAAACATGATTTGTGGAAAACATGGAACATAATCACCAATCAACCATCAAATTTGGATGTATATATGTTCAAACACAACCTATCTGGCATGTTGTCTGATGTTCTAGTAGACAAATTATCTGGCATTCTAGGGTGAAATCCTATCGGAGATATACTCTGGCATTTTATTTGGCATATTTCTGACATTCTATCCGGCTTCCGATCTGACATTCTACCTGGCATCCTATCTACCACTTTATGGAGTATATATTCTGACATTTATCTGGCATGTCATCTCATATTTCATCTGGCATCCTATCTGGCATCCTATCTGACGGTCTATCTTGCATTTTATCCAAGATACTACGGTATGACATTTTATCTGGCATGATTCCGGCATTCTATTGGGAGTCCTATCTGACATTCTATCTGGCATCCCATCTGGCATCATGTCTGACATTTCATCTGGCATATATATATATAAACAATACACACACATATATATATATACATACATATACATATACATATACATATACATATACATATACATATACATATACATATACATATACATAACATAACATAACATAACATTACATTACATTACATCCATCACATCACATCACATCACATCACATCACATCACATCACATCACATCACATCACATCACATCACATCACATCACATTACACATTACATTGCATTGCATTGCATTGTATTACATTACAAAATTACATTACATTACATTACATTACATTACATTAATACATACATTAATTACATTACATTACGTTACGTTGCGTTACATTACATTACATTACAGTACATACATACATACATACACACATACATACATACATACATACATACATACATACATTACATACATTACATACATTACATACATACATTACATACATCAGACATTACACGCCCAGCGTGGCGGCTATCAGACTCACATACATACGGTCTCAGACATACAGTTTAGGACATGACATACATACATACAGACATACATACATACAGACAACAGAACAGACATTACAACATACACACATGAACGACATTACACACATACATACATACATTACACACATTACACACATTACATACATTACATACATTACATACATTACATACATTACATACATTACATACATTACATACATTACATACATACATACATACATACAAACAAACAAACAAACAAACATACATACATACATACATACATACATGCATACATACATACATACATACATACATACTGGTTGTTTATCTCGCATTAAATTTGGAATCCTGGCGTATTTTTGATTTTTTTGACACTTTTCTCACATTCTATCTGACATTCAAAAAAAGAAACAAAGTGTAGGGCCCGGACGGCCCGCAAGCTCGACACCCTGCTCGGGTCCGGCGAAGCCCAGGGATTCTGTGGGCGATACATCTATAGAGACCCTCACCTGGCAGGTGGGGAAAAACAACTTTTAGCTGGTTAGTATATAAATATCTCCATTTCTACCCAAAGGTTAAATTACATTAAAATTACATTGTACTCGAGAATCCGTCCACTTAGTTGATTGACTTAATGCAAACTCGACAAGCTTGTGGATTGGACCCCGAAAGATCATTACTAATTGTCACATATTGTCGCCAATAACAATAAAACAAAAACAACCAAACAAATTTTGAAAAGAACTAAAGGTTGGAACCATATTCAAATCAATTTTTTAAGGTCAAATCTTTGACCCTCACTCATGAAAAAAAGGATCAAGGTCCTGCTCGACTTTTGCAAAGAATTCCGCATAGCCGGCAGGTGGTGGATGCATCTGCCAGCGGTTGCCTTGGATGAACCAACCGTCCGCCACCTCCCAAGGGGAGATATAAAAAACAAACAAACAACACAAGTTTATGCCCGAGCCACGGCAATATTGTAATTTAGATGGTTGTGTGTTCTTTCCCAATGCTGAATTGCCCTCTGTGGTGGATTCATCTTAATCAAATAAAACTTCTGTAACTTGTTGGTTCTGATTAAATTTGAATATATTTGTTGGACATATCTGGCTGATTTAAAGTTAAACAGTTAAACATGTTAAACTAACCCTTAAGTAAAGGTGTTCCCCTTACAATTTCTGATGATTTGCATGAAAAACACATCATTGGGGTACCCCAGATGGATACTCATCATTCCATCCAAGTGTGGTGTAGCCCTGGGTCCCATTTTCAGACAAATCCACCCGGTGAAACCGTTAATATAGATGCATGGAAAAAAAAACAGATACCCTCTAGTAATATGACGTAGCCTAGCTATTGAAAATGGCCCTTGATAGTTCATTTCCCTTTAAAAAAAGTGATGTTCCGTCGTTCTTCCTATCTTACCAGAGGGTTAAAATGACCAAAAGATGCAACGGTCCAGGTTGCCCTCTGCGTCCATCTGCCGTTCGTTGGGATGACGCGCCAAGATCTGAAGGATTTCGGGGGGACCACGCGCGGCGTAGTCGTAGGCGCTCCGTCCCCACCTGGGAAAGCCGAAGGCGGAATGTGGGATCCATGGGGAGGCAGGAAATTTCAAGCATCCGTTTTGGGGTTATTAACCAACATATATTTGGGGTAGCACCCAAGAAATGTTCTATGGGTCAAAACATGAGACTAATGGATCTAATGGTCATCCATCCCATAATTGGGAATACTTCTAAGGGATATACTGTATAACTTAAATTCCCATGAATGGATTGATGACCATCCACACTTGTGGTGGTACAATCTCACTTTTGGCCATGGCACATGTGTAGCTGGGCTATATTCTAACTGGGTTGCATATACAAGTGTGAATCGTCAAGTTATATACATGGTAGGGAAATGGGGGGAAGTTAACCAACAATAATTGGGTATATAAAGGGTATACAAATGTAAAATACTGTATAGTTTTACAATAAACCACCAATATAATCGAAGGAAGTTTAGAAGTCAAATTTCCGACTTGTGGACAGATGCAGCAACAGTCGTGAGAACAGTGAAAGAAGAGGAGCCAGTAGAAAGAAGATCAGACAAGAGAAAGAGTCAGAGAAGAGAGGGCAAGAACAAAGAAGATCAACGTGCGCGAAAAGGAAGACAAGTTGCGAAACATTGTGTTTTCCAATGTCTTGTGGCTCAAAGTATGGATGGATGGATGGATGGATAGAAAGAAATAAACATAGATAGATAGATAGATAGATAGATAGATAGATAGATCGATAGATAGATGGATAGATCAATTTACAGTAGTAGATACAGTAGAGTGGATACAATAGATATAGTAGATACAGTAGATACAATAGAGACAGTAGATTTCCAAATTGATAGATATGCAGTAAAACCGTACAGTAACAAATACATAGAACAACAAGGCCATGGAAGATATGTTGAAGGCACTCTGACAAATTGGTAGGCAACAATCAGAGTGGCTATCCTCAAAACATAAAATCAGGACCTCGAGGCGGACAATGAAAAGCCTTATCGTCCTACAAGTTGCTGAGGGAAGAACAATAGGTGAATCAAACATTACATTCACATACATATACGACGGGGCTACTCTGTTCATTCTATTCTATACTGAATAGGGGCCCGTGGTCTTTCAAGTGACAATGTTTTTTTGGTCAAGGGCCCATCGTTGGCTGTATTCCACAAATTGCCCAATCCAACTGAGCCCATATGTTGGTACTTCCATTATTCTTGTACTACTCTTCATATCATTGACATCAGTTGCGCTTCTACCCATATTCTTCCCCCATGAATGTTCACGTTTCACTCTCAAAAATCAATACGAAAAACCAAGCCACGTGTCCTTGAGACTTGGGTCAGCTCCAAAACGCAGGAGCTCCGAGGTGATATATGCATCACCTGGCAATTGGAAAGAAAACACCCTGGCACCTTCTGTTTTACATCAACATGTATCAAATATGTAAAAATAAAATGTATATGTATATGTACAAGTATACGCGTATAATATAAATAATATGAAAAATAAATATAGAAAACATGAAAACATATATATATATATATATATATAAAACAAACAAAATAAAATATATGAAAAAATGATGTAAATAAAATAGATAATATATACAAAATAAAAATAAATATCAAATATATTACAAATAAAAACCATATTATATATAATATATATGAACATAATATATATATATAAACAAATTATATACTGTAAATCTAAATATAAACAAATTATGTATTGTAAATCTATTTATAAACAGATATATATATATAAATATTTTTCGTTATGTATATATATATATATAAATATTGAAAATAGTAAAATACAAATATATATATATAGATTATATTAAAAACATTCTGTTATATATATATAAATATTACATTTTCAAAATTGTACATATATATATATATATATATATTATATAAAAATAATTTGAGATATATATATATATATATGTATATACATAAAAAGAATATAATATATCTTAAATATATATTATCAATATTTTGAATACATATATATAAGATATATATATATATACATTATATATCAATTAAAAAATGTATATAAATTAGAAAAATATTTAATATATATATATTAAATATTAAATATGAAATATAAAAAATAAATATCAAACAAAAGACATTATATATTATATATAATGAATAAATACTATATAAATTATAAACATATATATATAAATAGATAATATAACATATTAAAATATATTGAATATATAATATATAAATATATACATATTATATATCTTATAAATATATTTATATATCATACATATTAAATATTATTTATATATTCTGAAAAATAAAAATCTTGTGTATTTATATATGTAAATAAATTAAATATATTATATCAAATATATAAAATATTCAATATTCAAAAATAATATATAAATATATATATAATATCATGTATATAGACTATATCTATATATATCAAAAACAAATATATTATATAAATAATATAATAAACTATCCTAAACATAATATATATATATATCATTTCTTTTGTAGAAAAATAATATCTATAATATATAAAAAATAAATTATACATATTTAAAAAAGAGTGCGGGACGTTGTGGGTCCCCAGTTTTTACGTCATTTTTAGCTGTTTTTTTGTTATTTTTAATGCATTTATTTTATTTCTTCAAATAAATTCTTACTGATTAAGTATGGTTCTAGATATGACAAAGTTTATTCTAAGTTCATCGAGTTAAGACATAATATGAACATTTTTATTAAAACTATATACTGCGGCACATACCCTAAATCGCATTTGATTTCAAATAATGACGAAACAAAATCTATGCTACATATTGGGGATGCCAAAGCAAAGGAGTGTCAAAAGAAAGGGATCTCAAAGCCAATGGTATGTCACTGCAATGGGATGGCAGAGCAATATAGAGAATGCTAGTCGATAGAGTGGAGGCCAGTGCGATAGAAGTGGAGATGTAACAGTGCCTTAGAGAATCAAATATGATATGGTTGCAGGAGTCTTGAAAGGAAGATCACGAAAAGAAAGATGAGCTGAACACCAGCTGCAAGCCACCTGATGAAACAAAGGCCAAGAAAAAGAGGACCAAGGCATGAAGGTTCAGAAAGTACCAAATGGAAAGAAGAAATTTCGTACCCAGACTCCGAAACGTTAATGTCAATCTATGTTTTTTTCCGGTGTTTCATTTTGCTTCTCTGATTTATGGAAATCCATTATTTGGATGTTACAAGGGGTTGCGTCTTAGCAGTTCTAGGTTATACATATTTAAACAATATGTGTATTCACATGGACAATTTCTTGTATGGCGTGTTGCAATCTATTGCTGATTATGGCATTGAGACGTGGAAGATTTCATGAGCAAGCAGTAACGATTCAGTGCGTGCATCTTCTCTTTTTTGTCCGACGAGCGAGACAGCTGTGAGAGATTTTGAAGCGGAACCGCTCTGGCACCTTTGATTTGATGCATTGCACCAACGAATGACGGAATTGCAAAATGATGGCGGAAGAGTTTGGGTTTGGGAAGATGTTGGAAATATCTTCTAGTCCACATCATCAAATCATTTCTGTGCGGGTCTCTTCAAGACGGCTTGCTTCTTGACCCTACACTTATATTTGCGGCTGGCTGGCTTCTGCAGCACGCCGGCTCGCTGGGCTATCTTGGTGGCTCTAGGTGGCTCTCTGGGCCATGTTATCTGCTACAGTCTCATATGTTATTCTTATATGATTTCCACTGGGTTCTTGTGGGATTTCTATGGTATGTCTACCTTGTTAGTTTATACGCCTGTCCGTTGCGTTTGCAAACACTCTTCAAAGCAAATTATCAGGACGCATCAGGTAAGCATATGAGATATCCACAGAAACAAGAAAAATAGCAAGAAACAAGAACAAGAACAGAACACAAATGTAAGAAGCTCCACGACAAGAAAAAATATATCTGGGTTTGCTCTATAGGCCGTCTTGGGAGAGGTAAAGGGGGGGGTCAGCCCAGTTTTCTGTGTGGCTCTTTCTTTCCTGTGAATTAGAAATATAATCAGAGTCAGGTGTTCCTCAAGTCTGCTTGTTAGTGACACTACAGATTCATAAGCATGAATTCCGTAGACGTAACATTTTTCCTAACAAAGATTCATATGTAATCTGTCACGCCGTCTGTCCAGACATGTGGAAACGTGGGAACTGAGAAACGTGGGGACTGAGAAACGTGGGGACTGAGAGCGTCCCTTTCTGAAAAAAAATATGTTTATAATTTGTATTTATAGAATCTATAAAAAATAAATACATAATATCTAGAATAAATATGAAATATTACATAATAAATATAATAATCCAAAATATATATATAAATAAAATATGTAAACAATAACATTTTTACATAATATAATATATATGTAAATGTATTTATCATAAATGTATATATATATATTAAAGATATTTTTTGATATAATATATAAAAATAAAATACAAAAATCAAAAAATGTCTATAACATTGAGATTTTTAATTTAAAATAAGATCTATAATATATGATATATATATATATATATAATAATGATAACATATAAAAAACAAATATGTTTATAATAAATAAAAAAATACATTTTTCATGATATATGAAAATAAAAACAAAATAACAATTATATACTATAACAAAAATTAAATATACATATAATACATATAATATATAAAAAGATGAAGTTATATATAAATAAATATCTATATATAAAAAACATATGATATAAATATTATGCATAAAATATTTTCCTTTTTAAATGAAAAAATATATTCTAATATAAATATATATTATGAAATGAATAAAAAATAAAATCTATAATATGCATAAACTAAAAATTAAACATATGCATATATTATAAATGTAAAATATTTTTCAAAAATATACAATATATATACATGAAATATAATTATTTAAATTGATTTATATATATATGTAATATTAAATATATGTAATTTTTGAAATATATTAAAAAAAGGAATTGAATATGCATAATATATATAATATATAAGATATACTATATGTAAAATATAAAAGACATATTATAAATATAATATATATAATGTATATAATGTATATAATGTATATAATGTATACAATGTATATAATGTATATAATGTATAAAATGTATATAATGTATATAATTTATATAATGTATATAATGTATATAATGTATATAATGTATATAATGTAAATAATGTAAATATTGAAAAATATATATAATAATCTAATATATATATAATGTATATATAGAAATATATAGATACTTAACCAGACATTACCATATCTAAATATAAATATAGAAATATTTACCATGAAATTAATTCTGGTTCCTGGTGGTTTGAACCAGACAACTATGAAGACTAACTGAGATTCTCATTGCAGTTTTAGGGTAATAATTGGAACAATCAGTTGTATTGGCATTGGCAAAGACACGGTGATTTCGCAATGTTTCCTCAAAAAAACATTGATATAATTGTATATCGCAGATAATCGTTCGTCTGCGAGAAGGTGACACCCCCAAAAGGCTGTTTGAAGTTGGAATTGGAAAGTGATGATAAGCCTTGGGATTTTTGGGGTACCCAATTTTTACACACCCACAAACACCCTTTTTCATAACTTGTATATCTATATACGGGCTGGTATCTATATGTTCAATAAGTTCTATGGTTGACTTGGTCCATGTTCAACCCAAAACCTGGGACTTACATCTTACATATCCAAACATAAAATATTTTCCCAATTATGCGACCCAAATGGTGACTTGACTTAATTTAAGCCAAAGAAACATGGGGCCTAGGGATTAAACATTGCATCTAGCCATCTTTACCCTCCGGCAATCAAACATGGCAATGGATAGGGCATTTTCCAGCCAGCTTTCATTGCTGGAAGGCAATCATCATTAATCACGATGAATCATCATTATAAATCGTTGTAAATCATGATAAATCGTTATAGATTAAAAATCATTGTTCACCACTATTAATCAGTATTAATCTTCATTATTGCAAGAGGGTAGTTCAAATCACCTTGGCCCAACGTGTTCCACCTTGCTTCACCGCTTCATTCAAGGGATAGGTGCTACAGAACCAGGAGCTTCGCTTACCTATTGGCGGTCCCGTGTGACACCCTGTAGCCTAACCCTCCTGAATATAGTAAGCCACAGAATTGCATTTTACCAGCCAAAATGGTGACCTAAGCAGCAAACATGATGAGTTCATGGTTGACCATCATCGTGGATCGTGTCATCCAAAACAGAGGTCTAACTATCATCAAAATTGGCAGTCCAACTTCTTAGCTTGAAAAGTTGATATTCAAGAATACAACTGGTTGCAACTATCCTCCCAACTGTAATCCACAGTTTGTGTTGACCTAAATCAACATCTGGAAAGCTCATTTGACACAACCATGACATCGTGCAACAAGCCCGATCTGACAAACTTAAAACCTGATTTCAAACTATGCACGTGATACTCGGATAGTTATATATATAATATAAAACGGAGGATGAATCAATTCACGGATGGACGTTTGATGAATCAACAAGCATGGGATGGAACCAGTGAATGCCAATGAATGCCAATGAATTAAAAATAGAATTCCAAAATATGCATATAAAAGCCATGGCGCAAAAGTTCCACAACATAAAGGTCATTTGAAGTCGCTAGGAGTTGTCGACATGACATTGGAACCTATCACAGTGGTTGTTTCCCCATTGGAATCAATGGAAAAATACCCTCAGGTAATCAAACGCCTCAACGGGAAATCATCCATGTAGAGATGAATTCACCATTAAAACCTCCGTATTTCCAAGTGCCATGTTTGATTACCACTGGGTCAGAGGGTGAATTCATAGATTTTAATATATGTATGGATCTGCGACGATTTTCATCGTGGAGTCTCACGCGTGAGAATTTTGCCTTGAATGGTCGCATGAACACCAGGCATATTCTCAAGCACGGATGGAAGCCGGTCTCACTTGACTTATGCACATTGACAACCATGACCATGAACAATGCGAACCAAACAAAGTCTTGGGCCTTAGGAGAAAAAAACGATCAATATATGCTTTTCTTTTCTGTGCCCACAATCTGCATATTTCAGGATGGTAGCCCATTCTTAAGCCCATGGGAATCATGTTTGCCTGTCTGAAAAACATGGCTTGACAGATTTTCAGACACACCGAAACATCAGATTGTTGGTGTTATATGTGTTAAATAGATGATGTTTCATACAGTGGATTGTTTCATACAATGTATCCAAATATATATATATAATTATATATATTTTGATATATGAGCCGCCGTCAAAATCAATTGTTTATGCCTGGTACAAAAATATAAGTTATCGCTCTTTGGGGGGGGCCCTATCGCTTTCCAGTGTTTTGTTCAAATCAACACGAAATACTGCAAAAATGCAAGGAAATTAGCTTCACGGATTCAGATCTAAACTGCCGGGGATGGATTAAGGGCCTTTCGTTGTCTTTGCGTTTGCAACCAAGTTGGGGAGCTATCTAAGCACATTCCTAGACTCTTTCCTAAGCAAGGAAATCTGTTACGATCTCATCTCCGAACTAGAAAGACCGTATTTGATATAGACCAATGGTTCCAAAAAAGAATCGTTCGTAGCTATGAAGAAGTGCATTAGGCTCCCCAAGTCTGAATACAACGTTGTGGCCTGGTGTCAAGAACCTGTTCACTTTTTTGTTGAGCCCTTCTTCTTCTTGGGATCAAATGAGTCTATCCCTCCTCCGGGGTCCCTTTTTCAACAAAAGGTTATCGCTAGGTTATCGCTAAGGTTATCGCTAAATTGGAACACTTTGACGATCAAGAAAGGGAAGGAAAGAGGAACGTAGAACAAAAAGGACAACTGAAAAAACAGAAGGAGAAAGGAAGGAACAAGAAAAGGAAACAAAGGAAGAAGAAACGACAAATCAAACATGGAATAGATGGAATTCAGAACAAGATTCGAAATCAGAGTTGATTTGGTTCAGAATTCAATTGCGTTTAGTTTTAACTGAAAAAAGAAGGAACAAGAAAAAAAGAAAAAGAAAAGGAAACAAAGGACGACGCAATTCGAATTAAATCTAAACACACAAAGGGCATTCAGAATTAGATTTCAATCTATTGTTTGCTTAATTCAGAATTTGGTTGCGTTCAATTTGGTTTAATTCTACTGCTTTGGGACCTGGGAAGAAAAAAGCAATCTGCCTGCAGAAAGCAATGGCTCAATCACCTTGGACAGCAAATGAAATGGCAACTGCAAGAAACGCGGGCACTGCAGGTTGATTTTTCATCAATTTTGCCCACAGATGGTTACAGGTTATCGCTTTTTGGGAGGGGCCCTATCGCTTTACATGGTTTGGTGCATTTTCTCAACACGATTGGACCCTCCCTTACTAAAGTAATCTACGCTTATTTTGACTGTATCTCATATGTATATGTAGGGATAAATTTAAATTGTTCTACATTGTGTAGACGCGTTGATCCATTGGAGCCAGGGCTACTGTTCGGCTGGCCAGCTGTGAATCCGTTCTTCTCCAAGAAGTCGTTGACCAAAAGGCGAGACTTGGTCAGGTCCTGTCGATGACTGGTTGGTGCCATCCCACGGCCATAGTGATGTTGGGATCATCATCCGGAGGGAAAATGAAGTCTAAAGACACTTGGATTCTGTAATCACGTGATGAACAACAGCTTAAGTGGTAAGAGCAATAGTATACAACACTCTGTATATATATATTATATGAAATATGATATCAAATAATAATATACTATACTATAATATTGCAGCCAACAAACAGTGATCTTCCAGCGGCAGCAAAACTGTCCATTTTGGATTTCCGAGTCAGCCTGAGCCATCTTGTGAAAGCCGCAATATCAAAACCCCATTTGTTGCATCAGTTCCGTAATATGGGCTCGGAATGTATTCTACAGTAGTACTGGTCCTCAATTAAAATACATAAAAAAAGGTAAAACTAGCTAAAACATGCTAAAACCGTTTTAAAACCCAGTCCTTGTAGTACTTCTTCACGGCTCGGTCGGTCTTGCTGGGTTTCTCTTGATTTTGGTCCATGCGTCTCGCCGTCTGCCTCGCGTCGCAGCCCTTGTTCAGACACTGCGCGGCCCTTACGGGCAGGCTGACAGCTGCGGACGGCCGCATGGTTTGCCACCTGGTACTTTATTACATAGCTATGGTATAGATTGCTCATTTATACATGATTCATGTAGATTTTAGATTTTCCACAAGTAATTTGAATTACTAGAGGGTATCCAAAACAATAGCTATATACTTTCGGTGGGGGTGTTCCATAGTTTCATATCTCTTGATCCCTACAAGAAGTCCAATACATTATAATGCATCAAAATACGTTATGATACTTTATAATACGATATTATGGGGATATGTGTCTGTTCAGCATGCAAACAACGATTTTTGTGTTCGCCAGGGTACCAGGGTTGTGTGGTTGGTACTGGCCGCCATAGATGTCACTTTATATAATAAATTATAAATCTTCGGAGCTGCAAATTGGTCCCAGAATAGAAATTCAAAATACGTCTAGCCTGATACCTCAAAATAAACACGTACGCGAGGAAACATTGACAACAGGTTTGGGCATGGCCGCGAAGTGTAAAACATCGCAGAATTCACCAGTTTTTCTTAAATAGACATACCTAAGGTCATCCTAGGTCTTAAAAAAATCAACAATTTCTGGTCGACCACTAGTGTTCTACTTTGTCTGGACGCAAAGTCGAAAAGTAGACGTTTTGGTCGATATCTCCAAAAACCGGTGGTGAAGTTTATGCCATCCATAGAATTTGGTCATGGAACAAACCTGGAGTTTCAACTGGTCTCCCACAAAATAAACCGTTCACCCCCATCCACATGGTGATGTGCACACACACGCACAATGTTCAAACTTGTCATCGTGACCATGCTTCTTTCAAAGACTGAATTCTGTGGGAACTATGCAAAAGAATGCAGAACGCTCAAATTTTCCGAGTTTTTGGCATATTGTCAAAAACAGTAAAAACAACAAAGTGACCTAGTTTTTGGGATTTGTAGGCGTTAGTTAGATGGTTTTTGTAAGCGTTTTGATTTTTTTTGAAGGAGTGTTACAGGTTTTTGTAGGCGCGAAGTGTCGCATAAAACGTGCACATCGCACACAAAAATTAACATAATCGAAGAAATTGTGAGCCACAGAGTCTGTCAGTGGCACTTCAAAGCCGATGGACCACCTAACATGGCTGGTCAGAGTTTAGCGTTTCGATTTTATTCGTTTATGGTGGATAAAGGGTAGGTGGTGGTTGACCCTGTCGATTTGGGGCCACTTGTCATTGCTTCATTTAGTTTTATCAATGGCCCACATTGGAAAATTCAACTGAAATAGGATTGGATGATGTTGAATGTGTAACATGGTAGCGCAGCATAAGCTGAAACCAGGGTAATCACAGAAAATGCAAAAGTAGGCAGTTTGGTCAAGAAGAACTACTTTTTCTGACGTACATCTCAATTATAAGGGCAAGTGACCCCAAACAGTGTGTGTTTGTGTGCGCGAGGATAATGTACGATAATGTTAAGGATAAAAATGAGGAGGAGGAGGAGGATGATAATGTTGCGGACGATGATGTTCAGGACGATGATGCCGAGGATGATGAGGTGCAGGTTGGTGACGCTGAGGATGATGAGGTGGAGGGTGAGGTTGAGGATGATGATGCTGAGGAGGATGAGAGGATGAGGATGATAATGCGGAAGATGAGGTGGAGGATGACAAGGTGGAGGATAATGATGTTGAGAAGGAGGAAGTTGATGATGTTGAGGATGAGAATGTTGAGGATGATGATGAAAAGGATGATAATGTTGCAGACGATGAAGTGGAGGATGATGATGTTGCGGAAGATGAGGTGGAGGATGATGATGTTGCGGAAGATGAGGTGGATGATGATGATGATGGTGATGATGATGATGATGATGTTGCGGAAGATGAGGTGGAGGATGATGTTGAGGATGACGATGATGAGGAGGATGAGGAGGAGGAGGATGAGGATGAGGATGAGGATGAGGGTAATAGTGCGGAAGATGAAGTGGAGGATGATAAGGTGCAGACTAATGATGTTGAGAAGAAGGAAGATGATGATTTCGATGATGATAATTTTCTGGAGGATGATGAAAAGGATGATAATGTTGCGGACGATGTGGTGGACGATGATGATGTTTCGGAAGATGAGGTGGAGGATGATGATGTTGCGGAAGATGAGGTGGAGGATGATGATGTTGCGGAAGATGAGGTGGAGGAGGATGATGTTGAGGATGATGATGCTGCGCCCCAGACATGCGCCGCACGTCTTGTGCGAGCCTGCGCAGTCGAAATGCACATGGACATGGCACAAGAGCCATTTATGCGCAAATTTACAGGTAAAAGTGCATGGATCGTCACATTGTCAGTTGTCCAAACCGGTAATTCCAGAAACAATCCGTGCAACGGCAACAAAAAGAGTTTCCAATTCCCCTTTGAAGTAAATTGCCAGGTTTGACCTAAAGGGTGCATCCCCATTTTGCTGACTGAATCCCGGTTTTTGTCAGTGAAAACCACAGTCTTCCAAAATAAGTCACAGTTTTCTGCTGACGAAATACCCATCTTCACTTAGACTTGATAAAACACATTTTTGGCTATGAACCACCCATATCTTATTAAATCACCGATGACCATCTTAAATTGGAGAAACCTAATACGGACTTCACATTATCCCAAAGTGGCTATGGGTCAAGTCATTGGCTACCCCAATAATTGGATAGTACTAAAAATAGACTAAGCCATCTATGATCTATGATCATCTATGGCCCAGGTCTGATAAATGGTACCCGACCCATCAAACCGACCCTGTTTTTCTGTAAGGCAACGCGGTCCTGTGTCCACAACATCACACTCACCTCCTGGAGGTAGGCCAAATGCTCCACAGAGCCCATCCGCGCACCTAAGAAAAAAACAGGCAACGCATAAGATGCCTTTCTGGTCAACGTCAATGTTACATGAAAATTAAGCTGTTTGTATAGTATTCACAATGATGAACATGTTAAATGGTTAAATGATTTGATAAGAGGTGGTTAGGTGATAAATTACTGATGATCATCCATCTAACATGTATGTATATATTTATCAATTCTGATATCTATATAACATCTATACTAGGCGCAGATGACACGGGACTTTGCGGCCAATTTAGCCGATGTTTTTTGGCACATGACATGGGATTTATGTATCGATTTTGCTAGGGATTTTTTTTACACATGACATGGGAGTTATGCGCCGACCTAACGGGCAGGTATTTTTCCATTTTATTGACAGATGACATGGGAATAAGTGATCAAATTTACACATGACATGGGACTTCCAGGAAGACACAGACGTCCAAGATGGGAAATGGCAGGTAATTTCCATTAAATTCCTCCAAAATCGTTTAAATTCTTTTAAATTCCTTAAAGCTCCTTAAAAGTCCTTTAAATCCCTTTAAATTCCTTTAAAATCCTTAGAATTCTTTAAAATTGCTTTACATTCCTTTAAATTCCTTTAAATTCCCTTAAATTCCCTTAAATTCCCTTAAATTCCTTAAAAGACGAATTTACCACATGACATGGGACCTTTTTCCATTTATTCCTTACACGTCATTGAAATTCTTTCTCTTTCAATAATATAAAAAAACCAAATTTCTGTTCAATCTTCCATTGTAATTGCTTTTTTAAATTCCTTAAAATTCTCTAAATCCCTTTAAAAACCTTAAAAGACGAATTTACCACATGACATGGGACTTCCAACCCCTTTAAATTCCTTAAAAGTCCCCTAAATTCCTTTAAATTCATTGAAGTCCCTTTAAATTCCTTAAAAGACGAATTTACAACATGACATGGAACGTCCAATTCCTTAATTCCTTAAAATTCCTTTAAATTCATTTAAATTCCTTAAAAGACGAATTTACCACATGACATGGGACTTCCAATTCCTTGATTCCTTAAAATTCCCTTAAATTTCCTTTAAATTCCTTAAAAGACGAATTTACCACATGACATGGGACTTCCCAATTCCTTTAAATTCCTTTAAATTCCCTTAAATTCCCTTAAATTCCCTTAAATTCCTTAAAAGACGAATGTACCACATGACATGGGACTTCCAATTCCTTTAAATTCCTTTAAATTCCCTTAAATCCCTTTAAATTCCTTAAAAGACGAATTTACCACATGACATGGGACTTCCAATTCCTTTAAATTCCTTTAAATTCCTTTAAATTCTTTTACATTCCTTTAAATTCTTTTAAATTCTTTAAAATTCCCTAAATTTCTTTTAAATTCCTTTAAGCCCCTTTAAATTCCTTAAAAAACGAATTTACCACATGGCATGGGACTTCCAATTCCTTTAAATTCTTTTAAATTCTCTTAAATTTCTTAAAAGACGAATTTACCACATGACATGGGACTTCCAATTCCTTTAAATTCCTTTAAAGTCATTTAAATTCCCTTAAATTCCTTTAAATTCCTTTCAATTCGTTGAAATTCCTTTAAAGTCATTTAAATTCCCTTAAATTCCTTTAAATTCCTTGAAAGATGAATTTACCACATGACATGGTAATTCCAATTCCTTTAAATTCTTTTAAATTCCTCTCAATTCTTTGAAATTCATTTTGAACTCATTAAAACTCCCTAAAATTCCTTTAAATTCCTTGAGAGATGAATTTACCACATTACATGCGACTTCCAATTCCTGAAATTCTTGAAAATTCCCTTAAATTCCTTTAAATTCTTTTACATTCCTTTAAACTCTTTTAAATTCTTTAAAATTCCTTGAAATTCCTTGAAATTGCATAAAATCCCTTTAAATTCCTTAAAAAACAAATTTACCACATGACATGGGACTTCCAATTCCTTTAAATTCTTTTAATTTCCCTTAAATTCCTTTAGATTCTTTTAAATCCCTTTAAATTCATTAAAATCCCTTTAAATTCGTTAAAAAACGAATTTACCACATGACATGGGACTTCCAATTCCTTAAAATTCCAGCTGCTCAGCTCCGACCCGTCCGGACGGTTTTTCAAATAGTTGCTGAATAGCTTCGAAATAGCTGCTAAATAGCTGCTAAATAGCTGCTAAGTAGCTGCAAAATAGCTGCTAAG